TTGGTTGTTTGCAGTTGGGACCAACAAGCCTTCCGTGCCTCAGCCCGCCAACACAAACATCTACAAGACCGGTAGCCATCTTTTTCAAAAATGGGTTAACTTAGAAAAAGTTAGAAACAATTTAACTCAAGCATTTCTCGCAACACCTTTGCTCAGATGGGCAGTCAGGAAATTATCCGGCTTCCGCCTACCAAACGCATGCCGCTCAGGCACAGGAGAATCGTTATGCCGCCGCCGCCCTGGCAAGTCTCAGCGGCTTAGGCTTGGTCACGCTACCTACAGCCGCAGGAGGTGGCGGCGAATTAGCCGCTTCCGGTTATTGCACTCTGCCACGTGGCCTGGCCAACCACGTCTTGCGAGCGCATTCGCAACCACCGCCTGCCTTCTATTCAACCACAACGGCTCCACCAGCCGGACCTTCAGGGGTCCCGGCGACAATGGGCTCCGGGGCGATTGGAGCCTCGGACGCCTTCGTCATGATGGCACCACCACCAAGGCGATCGGCGCTACCGGCCAGTCTGCTTAGTGAGGCGACACGTCTGCAACAGCAACAGCAACAGCAGCTACTCTTGAGGCAACAGATGCAGATGCACCAAGCAGCAGGCTCGAGCCTACAGCGGCTGTACCCAGACCACGGAAATCAACAGCATCAACAGCCAGCAGCCATAGGATCTCTCGATCAGGTCAGTTCAGAGGGCAAGTCGAAAAATGTACTGCTGGCATGCATCTCCGTCCTGATTGATTGAGTCTGTTCCGGATGGGCTGTCTTACTAAAAACTTCTCCAGCCCATCTTATCTTTGCAAAAGCTAAGTAATACTATGTTTCGTTGCCTAATCACCATCTTATCATTTGTGCCCTTAATAGGTAACAATAATTATATGAATTAGTTAATATTGAAAATATTTTTTGCTGCTTGTTAATTGGTTAATTGGTCATGTCATGTCTCAGACTAGACCACCATCAAGACAAGTAACACATGTGGTAATAACATGAAAATAAAAAAACATCATTAGTAGTAATTATTAATTCAATAATTACTATCAATAAATAATATATTTGCCTTTAATTATGTATTTAATTATTTATTCATAATCAAATCACTAATCAAATAATAAAAATTATTTTAATAATTAATAATTTTTAATAATAATAATAATTTTTCAGGTTTATTAACACATATTTACTGGTGGGCTAGTCTGAGGCATGACATTACTATTTAATTAACTAATAAGGTATCAAAAATACATATTATTTTATTTATTACGTATTTATTTATTATGGATTTAATTGTGTAAATTAATTTATTATTCAATTTGTAATTATTTAATAGTTATTTATTTACTAATTAACTAATCAATTGTTAATTATTCATTCGTTAATTACTTATTAATTTATTTTTTACTATTCTTATTAATTATTACTTTTAATCCTCATAATGGTCTAATCCTATAATTATTGCAGGGACTTTCTAGGCAATTCGAATAAGACTCTAATCCTGCACGCATACCATGTCCTCCATGTTGATATGGGATGCCCGGTATTCACGGACATCCTGCAGGGTAGCACTCCTTCGAGTCTAAGAATGCTGGACAACTAAGTTTTTGTAAAGTGTAATGACAAATCGCTACTACGATATTTATGAATGAGTGTTCTGAGACACTACCTTTTGAATAATCACTATTGTCTTATTTATATCCCACTATGACCACCTTTGCCTTTGAACTATGACTTTTAAAGAAAAT